GGGGTTGCTAGGGGGGTTTTTTTTTTTTTTTTTTTTTTAGTAGCCTCATGTTTTTTTTTTGTTTTGTTTTTTGCTGGAGAGGCAGTTATTTCTATCACTGGTGTCTGTTTAGGCCTTTGGTGGGAAGGGGTTCGAAAGTGGGGTATGAATGCTGCCAAATCTGAGGGAGGTGTTTTTCCTTCACACTTTTTTACCTTTTTTTTCCTTTTTGTCGTGCTTAACAAGAAGTCGCAATTGATCAAAGGGAGAGGCTAGAATTTATCACTTTAATTCCATGACTTTTGCCGGGCCTGGAAGCACGCTCCTGCTGGGTGGCTAGATGTTGTCACCCCCTGTGAGATAATGACCTGCTCCAATAAGCTGCCGTTTATGTTGTGGGGTGGGTTTTAAGGTCTGGCTTTTCCCTCTCTGCCACTTAAGGCGATGATCAATGTCCCGCTGGCCCTCCATTTCAAGCTACTTTAGTTCCTGGACCTTCCTGCTCCATGGCCAGTTGAGAGACCTGCTTAACACCAGGATTGGGCAAAATCTTTCTTCAGTATCTATCATTCTTTCTATCTGTCTATTTGTCCTTCTTTCTACCATTTGTTATATTGTTTGTCATTCTATCACTGTCTGTCATATCTGTCATTTGTTTATTCTGCATCCCCTTTGCCACTTCAGTACTAATTTAATTCATATTCAAACAGGTAGTCCACCCCAAGATTATACTAATGATCAAGCCAGAAGTTGAGATATCAGACCACTCAAGCAGGAATGTTTTGTATTTGCAATAGAGACAGTATTTAGATTTTTCGGGAAAGTTAAATTACAGATGGTGTACTTATAGTTTCTCTGCACATTAAATTGCATACAACACCCATTGCATAAGGCTAGATACAGTGTTTCATGACTGACAGTTTTGGAGAATGAATGCACTAAAGTGATCAGCTCTGAGGTTTGTCTGTGGTAGTTCCTCTTTATGTGCAACATTCAGTGGCATGGTGTGACGTTGGTAATAATGATGTATGATTTCTTGAGCCATTTAGAGGAACTTGTTTGTGCCACATTTCTAAGTTTATTGCTGAGTGGCATCATCTGCAAGAAAAGAAGAAAAACACTTTTTTCTATTGCTTGACATTACAGTACATTTTGCAACTTTACAGTGGTTGCGAAATGGACTTTGTTTGTTTTCTTATATCTGAGCTACGACTTCCTGTTGTGCTTGTGAAGGTGGTAAAATTTAAAGAAATAATGAGAAAAGCTGACAGCTCTGTTAGAAATTTTAAAAACTCCCTTTTGATCGTGAGCAGTGTTTCTGCTTAATTCTGATTTATAGATCAGATTGTATATTGGCATCCTGTGGTCTCACAGTTCCTCTTGGTGTCCCATTGCAACATCTGAACGTGCTATGTGGATTTTATATATGTGGCTTCTAGTTGTTTTTATCTACTTTTTAGGGTCGTGTTTGACAGCATTTTTGTGTTTTTAGTGAAAGTGTGCCTTGAATGATAAATCCCTCTTATGATGCATTGCTTTCACTGCACAGTGCACACAACATCAACGTCTGTCATACATATCCTCCAAAACACATTGTAAACCGTGTTTTTGCCAGCAAGTTTTACTGAAGTGAATCCAGCAGACTTCCAACTCGCAGGCACCAAATCATTACAAGTATTACTGGGGTTCGAATAAGAGATATGACACCATGCACCACCCGAGGACCACCAAAATGATGGAGATTGAATAACTTTTGCTTTATTTTTTGTCTCGTAGCTGGTGAGAAAGCCATCGTTTGTGACCAGTGTGGAGCTCAGTTCCAGAAGGAAGATGCTCTGGAGGCCCACCGGCAGATCCACACAGGTGCGACACACACACACCCCAACCCACACTGCACACATCAAATACACTCAAATGTCCTGCATTCAGTATATGCAGTATGTTATTGTATGTACAAGTGTAATAAGAGAAATTATTACTGTCCCTAATGTCTTTTAGGTTTTCTTTCAGGAAAGCATGCACAAGCTTTCTTTTTCATTTATCTAAATTTCTTTTTTCCCCACTTTTTTTTTTAGAAAAATCTAATGTTTTGTGTCTTGTCATATGCTGTTCCAGAATTTCAAAATTAAGTTTTGATCATGTTTCATATTTAGTTTGTTTTATATATTCATTAAAATGTTTGTGTTTTATAAGTTGAAAGGGAATATTAATACCTCTAGTTTACATATCTACATATGAATCTAATTTTTGTGCACCTTTTTGACCCCAAACTATAGCAAGGTTTGTATCTATGCAATCCAAAATAACTTTTCAGTTTTTTTGTTTGTAATATGTATCCGTTTGTATTCTAGGAAGAAAACTTTACATCATGTGTTTACTTGCAAAGCGTGGTAAATAATCAGCCACCTTGGTTATTTTTAAGCGAATAAAGTTTGAGTCTCGATCATGTGTTTGAAGAGTTGAGTCCAACAACTTTTTGGAACACGTGGTGAAAGATGAACATTTACTGGAAGAGGTGAAAGGCAAGCCACCCTAGCAGGTATGGGGTAAAGCTGGCGACCAGTTCCAACAACTACGCACATACATACCATACCTGCTTGTCATTCTACAAATTATTGGTTGTGAGAAACAGGGCAGTTGTGGTCAGGCTTGGTTGGGTCTGTTTGTTTACTAGGTGCCCTCAAAACAATGTTGGGGCATGGAAGGAAGACCTCTCCAGTTTCCGCCTCTGCTTACGTACTTGGTGGCAACCCGAGTGGGATATGCACTCGTGCACTTGACCCTTATATGATGACCTCTGCTGGGTTGCTGGACACAAGAGCTGTGCTGATGCATGTGGCCCTCAGTACACTGCCATGCTATGACTCCTCACTTTCCAGACAGCCCTCGCTATCTGCCCTTGGGAGAATGTTCTAGCACAAACGTGTCTAGCACTCCACAGCACAACAGTCTGGCTCGCTTAGATCACTTCGGGTATAGAAAGCACCGTTTGTGTTAAATTTGTGATCATGTTTCCATTTTGTTTTGCTGAAAAGATTCATCACACCCATGTAGCCTTGAACCACCTTCAGGAACTAGGTACTCGAGATTGACATCCTTAAAATGTACAGTCAATATTTCAGTGTATTGAATTTGGTCTTCCATATGTAAGTGGACACACTTAAATGAAGCTTTTATGGCTGCCAAAATGGCACGAGTGAGTGTTCAGAACTCATTCTTAATCACTGTTGATACAAACAGTCATTTTAAAGCAGCATCAAATGCGATTGAGGGAATATGTCTGAAAATTTGTAAAGGCTTCAAATAGTTTGTCTGAAGTGCATTGTGGTTTCAGTATTTAAAGTATAATACTTCAGCAAACACTCTGTTTCCTGTCCTAGGGCCTGCAATATAAGGGAAAAAAAAAACTAATCCGTTCAAAACGGATTAAATGATATATATATATATATATGTGTGTGTGTGTGTGTGTGTGTGTGTGAATATATTTTTTAAATATAATATTTTTTAAAAAGTATATATATATATATTAGGGCTGCACAATAAATCGCATGCGATATTTAACGCGCATCTTGTCAGGCTCAACGGCTCTGTGTAGTTAATGCTGCTCCATGTGAAAGCCCGCAGGTGATGGAGATTTACCGCTGATTACAGAATGG